AGCAACAAAAATGTTGGTCTCTATTCTGTTTCAGTCAGTGAGTGCCTTTCCTACCAGGACCATACCTTTTCCAGTTTTGCATTTCTCCCTGAGTTTGAAAAAGCAAATGATTTTCTGTGATCACAGTGATTCATTAAACAAATAAAATACTTTTTGACCTTTCATACGCATATGCCCTGCCCCTTGCCAAACAAGCTCTGTCCTGCTATAAACATTCAGAGCTGAAGGAATGCTCCCAAGGGGGCAGTGGCCTCTCCATGTGAGAGCTGAGGATGCTGAGGCTCAGAAAGTTTCTTTCACTTGCCCAGGATGGCACGACTAGTCATGGTGAGATCATGGTCTTTTTGTCTGCCTGATTTCATCTCCCAGGGACTGAGGCATGATGGATGCTCACCCTTTTTCCTTTGTAGAAATTATTTTCTAAGAAAGTCAGGCTGAAAGAGAATAAGTTGCTGGTCTAGGATAAAGAAGTCCTGTAGTTCCTGGCACAGATTTCTCAAGAAGGATTACCTCTGTGCACTCTGTCTGTCAGCAGAATCAGTGGCTCCTCCAGTCCCTCCAGGGGGACCTACAGCTCCAGCAGGCTCTCCCTTGGAAAAGCACTCAGGGAGTAAATGGTCCTAGTCTCTCCCCACCTCCCCATCCCAAGGGTTTCAACTCTCAACTTGGCCATGTTTAGGTCCCTATGAAACTGTGGAGCTGCATCTCATGAACACCCCAGCCTGGATGGGTCTTTTATAAGAAGGAAGGGAAATGCTCTGAAACGTGTCTTAGAAGTGAGATGCTTGTGATGTGGCCGGCCCTGTCATCTGGAACATGGGCCAGGAGAGGGCACATTCATCCATGCAGATGGGCCAAGATGAATGAACGCGTCCTTCAGATTACACAAGGATGCTTCCTGTGTGTGGCTTCTCAACAATAATGTGTGAATAGTGTGCACAGTGCACAGCTCTGACCCCAGCAGTGGTGTCAGCGTGGTTTGGCTCTGCCCATGCTCTCCCTGCAGAGAAAGACTTGGTAGATTTAGGGAGAATACAACCTAAATTATCTCTGGATCTTTCCTTGATGGCTTCTCCCAACCTGCCCCGTTAACAGTACGGCAGTACTTCAGAAGTTTGAGAAAATGTTTTCTTTTTTCTTCTGAAAATGCAAAGACTATTCAAAGTACAAGTTTAATAAGACTCAGTAGTCTAGAAAAGACGAATAAAGTGAGTTGAGAAAATTAAGTAGTGATAATTAAAGACATTCCCAGAACTTGATTCTAATCTAAACAGCAAGTGCAGAGAATCAGAAAGGGAGTGCTGTGTTTGCCCAGTCTCCATCAGCCAGATTTGTTGTTTCAGGATGTTTCTCTCATTTGCCCAATATGAGCTATCTTAAAATGTGAGAGTGTCCTAAGTGGCTGATGGTCGATGATGAATAAAGTGTGCTCTCAGGAAGATAAAAGAGAACAGATGCAAGGAAAGCTTTGAGCCACTAGGGAGGTGAAACCCAGTCTAGAGAAGGGTTCCTGAACAGAGACCACAGAGCTGGATGGCACCTGGTGCAGGGTGGGACCACGGAGGGGCCAGCATGACCTCAGGGAGAGTCTATTTGAGCACGTGGTGGAAGGTGATGCTGGGTAGGATCGTGGGGCAGAAGTGAGAAGGAGCACAGAGGCAGGATGAGAAGGACAGTCACCCGGGGGGCAGTGGAGAGGAAGTTTTCAGGTGCAGAGTGTGAACATGGTAAGAACAGGGCTTTGGGGAGATAAAACTTCTAAGACAATTGCTAGAGTGAACACAGCAGGGTCAGAGAAAGCAGAGAGCGGGGCTGTATACAACCAGCCATCACTGATGAAACTCTGATACACTGTGCTCTCAGGAAGACAAAAGAGAATAGACACAAGGAGCACAGTTTTAAGAAAATTTAGGAAGTCTTGTAGTGAATGAGAATGAGGAGAGGGGAAGAGAGAAAGGAGCCCTATCAATGTGGATCTGGCCCTGCACCCTGTCCCTGTCCTGAGCCAGAACTGCACAGGCATGAGGTCATCAGAAGTCTTTCCTTAGTCCACTCTGAGAATGTGCATTCCTCTCCCTGTGGAAATAGAAATAGTTTGTTTAGGATGTATGCCCGAACCCCACTGGAGAGTGGGTAATGTGAAAATTGTGCCCTGTATTCCCTTCCTACAGAACCACCCATGCAGATGTATAGCTCTTATGGTCCCTGAATTTCTGCGAAGGGACTGGTCCCTCCACTACATTGCCTATGGCTGCTGACACCCATTATTATATGGCACTAGGATGGAGATGTGTGGGCAGGGGGTTAAATCATTACAGGCAATGAGGAATTCAAAATGTCTCAGAACCCTGAAAAGTTAGCCTCACTTAGTGTTTGGTCTTTCTCATGGTTCTCTCTCAAAGCCTCCTGGCACTAGCGCTTGCCCTGTTCTTACACACCTGTGTTGTGGAGAACAGTTCTTCCTCTCCTATGCTCTGAGGGCTCTCTAGAACTTTCCCTGTAGGCACAGGAAAGAGATTGATAATGACAGACTAATCGTCATGACCTTTATAGCCAATACAAAGTTCTCTTGGCTGAAGGAGGAGTTTTTCACTTCAGGGACACCCTAGCCTGGCAGTTGCCATGACAGTGTCCCCAGGTACAGACAGGAAAGGTGACATCAGCTGCATTTACATGATGTCTCTGTGTGGCTTGGGCCACTAGGTGGCTTACCAAGAAACAGGGACAGCAGAGATGCGTGTTCTTGGTGTGCTTAACATAGGGAAAACTGAGATTGTTCCTACTGAAGCCCCTTCTCCTTTCAGCTTCCACCCAGGCCACCTGTCACCAAGGGACTTGGAGTGGAGACTTGAGCCACCGCCTGTCAAAGGTGCAGGCTTCACAGACACAGCTGGATTTAAGCACCCTGGTGCCGAGTTGTCCACGAGGTGAGCTGGATCAAGGGTTCCACTCTGGGAGTGGCTCAGCCAGGCGGGGCCTTTCCTCCACCACCTGCAGCTTTAGAGTCAATGCTTATTCTGGTAACCAATGTTTCTTCCAAGGTAGGGAAGGAAAGGGGATAGGAAGGTCTTGTCCAGGTGTTGGTGGTCACGGTGCTATGGGTGGAGGAGAGAATGGAGCCTCTCTGTGCTCCCTCAGGGTCAAGTTAAATGCACAGTACTCCAACCCAGTAAGGTGAGCAGGAGCCTGGGGCTTAGGACAAAATCTGCTCTCAGGTCCCGGGTTTGCCTCCTTCTGGTTGTTCACTCTGGCCAAGGATTTTGTCTTTTTGCTATGCAAATCTCTGTTTCCTCATCTGAGCTACCTAAAATATAGTATCTACTGATAATCATCACTGAGAGTATTAATTATCATAATTTCCAAAGGGCCTGATTGAATAACAATTACTCAATAGACCTATAAATACGTGTTATCTCATCTATTTGTCTTTCTGCCAAGTTTACATTTAGAAAGTGACTTCACAGGCTCTGTCTTCTCTGAGGTAGAGCAGTTGTGAAGCTCTCTGTTCTCTAGAGTCCCCTCTTCCTTTCCTTTCTCACACATACTCCTCTGTCAGTTTTCTTCCTCTCCTTCCCATCCCCGATGAAGCCAATTCTCCACTGTCAGGCACTTTCAGTGACAACCTATGAGGCACATTCAGGAACAGTGTAAATCCTGGACTAACATATCAGTGTCATGCCACGTCCAGCTCCTCTTTCTCCTTGTTCTGCTCTTTTTAAAAACAAAGGGCAATTTTCACATATAAAGTGTTCACATCTGTCTCTTTTATGAAAATCTATTTAATTGGTCATCTCCACTCATGTCCTCGGCCATGTCCTCAGTTTCCTTCTCACAGGGATCCACTCTGCTCAGATTTTTTTTAGTTTCCTGGATCCTGTTCATTGTCACTCTTTGTCCCAGTCAATTTCTCATCCTAAGGCCCTCCGCTGAGGAATATGGGGACCCCTGTCCTCAGGAGGAGGAAGGGTCACATGAGATAATGAGCACCACTTGGGTCTGTAGAGAGGACACCTGGATGGCGCTCAGTGGGTGTCGGGGATGTGCAGTCCCTTACATGTGCCATGTAACTAATTTAAACTGATTTCTTCCCACCACATTCTCCTTTGTTTCACTATGGATACTTACACCCCCAGCCAAGACTCAACCCACTGGCTGAGACGCATGCTCTCTTGCCCACGTTCCCTGGAGTCCAAAGCCAGAACCAGGATCCCAGTAAGAGCAAAGAGTGAATGCCTTGTGCCTCATTCACGGTTTCCTTGGTCATTTCTCTCTGATGTTTAACAGGTCATTTGTTTCTTTGCACACCTTTTCTTTCTCATTTTTCTCATATTTCTATTGTTTTTCAATTTTAGTGGAAAAGAATATTAATTATACTGTTACATTAAATATCTCCCAAATCTCTATATATTGTTTTTCATTAATTTAATGTCTACAGATGTATGCATTTACACCATTTGCTATGTATATTATGTACATTTGGTGTGTATTCTACGTAGTGTGTATATATATGTGCAATAGATTATATAATGATGCTTGTTTCGTAAATTCTCCAGGTTTAGTCTTTTCCAGTTCTTTTCTCATCAGCTGCTGTAACCTCTGCCTGGTCTCACCTCTGTGTCCCATGGGCTGCCACCCTGCCAGGCCCTTCCACCCACCTGTCCTGTTTGGACTCAGCTCTGATTTAACTTTCACTCTTATAATCTCTTCCCTCCCCAAAGCACAGCCTACATACAGTGTGATTCCCTTGCTTTGGCCATATCTACCCTGAAGCTACTTGTGCTTCTTAATCTTTAGTTTCCTGAATATTTTTGTGAATCGGGAGTGCCCTTGCCTCCTGGCACACTTGTCAATATTGAGTAATGTAAGAAAGATCAACCAAAGAAAATATATTAAAGTTACTCTGTTGGCTTCCTTTCCCCCTTTGGACTTTCCTGTCCAAGGCCCCATTCATGATTTGATGTCCTTTGGGTGGAAGAGAAAGTCACAGTAAGATCATAAATGCCACTGGATGCCATGGGCTGTTGTTTCATTTTCAGAGCTGGTTTTAGACCCCTCCATTGCGATGAAGATCCCTCCGCAGATGGAAGATGATCCACTCGAAGGCACATCAAACACCCAATGGCATCAAGTGCCTGGCAACATTGATGCCTCCAGTGTTCCAAAACCCAAGAAGATCAAAAGAAAACTCCCTTTCAGCAAATGGCTCCGTTGGCCTTTACGCTCAGGGTGCAGAGGTAATCACTTCTATGGCTCTGAGCTGCACTCACTTCTTATTTCTCTCTGTCTATGGTGACAGCTCATTCTCCCAGTGCTTTTTCTCTTTTATTTGTTCTCCCCAGGGCCTGCTGTAACCTCTGTCTGGTCTAACCCCAGTGTCCCATGGGCTCCCATCCTGCCAGGCTCTTTCTGTCCTCATCTCCTCATTGCTCTCTGAACCCTGCTCTATTCTTTCTTCTGCTGTCTTGAGGGTCCCTCTGGTGGCCACAGGAGAGCCAGGCCACCTTGTCCACATCCAAGTACACAGTTAAGCTGTGGAACACAAGGTTCTTTGCCAGGAATTGCACACTCTCTTCAGAAATTACCTTTTCTCCCTGTATCCCCAACTTTATTGTTTCTTTCTGCAGGGAGCGTGGCTTTAATACATCATTTACACATAGGTTTTTCCCTTGAGTTGGCTTTGGAGGAACCCAGCTAAGTCCACCCTTACTCGTCTCTTGTTCCTCTGAATGAGAAGTGTTAAAGCTGAGCACAGAGAGCCCCACTCAGAAAACAAAACTTAAATCTTGGTCACAAGTGGAAATTCCGTACCGGACTGGAGCCAGGTTTGTCTTCAGCCCCAGATGTGCAGACTTGTGACAATGTAGATGGAATTGCCAGGGACTCAGTATTCTCACCTCAAGGACTCATTTGTGCTGACATTAACTGAATGACATTTATGACATTCAAAATACATGCAGAGGACAGGACTTCAAATCTGCATACATCATGAGATATATCAGTCTAACCTCTCTCCATTTTATTCTCATTTCCATTTCTACATGTCGTTAAGGGTCTAAAATGCAACTCAGATGAATCTTGAGGCCAGGGTATATGAGAGAGAATTTTCTCGGTTAGCTTTGAGAAAAATGGCTCCAGGACCTTCATTACTGAGTAATGTAATAACTTCTTGTTGATAACAAAAAAGAAAATATTAATGTCACTCTGTTGGCTTCCCCTCCCCCTTTGGACTTTCTTGTCCAAGGCCACATTCCTGATTTCATATCTTTTGGGTGGTTTTAGCCCCATCCGTTGGGATGAAGAATGCTCCGCAGCTGGAAGATGATGCACTCGAAGGCTCAGCAGACACCACCCAAGGGCGTCAAGTTACTGGCAACATTCATGCATCCAGTGTTTCAAAACCAAAGAACATTAAAATACTCCCATTCACGCTGGGTGCGGTGGCTCACACTAGTAATCCCAGCACTTTGGGAGGCCGAGGTGGGCAGATCACGAAGTCAAGGGACCAAGACCATCCTGGCCAACATGGTAAAACCCTGTCTCTACTAGAAAAAACAAAAATTATCCCGGCGTTGTGGTGCTCGTCTGTAGTCCCAGCTAGCTGGGATGCTGAGACAGAAGAATCACTTAGAACACAGAAGGCAGAGGTTGCAGTGAGCCAAGATCATGCCACTGTCCTCCAGCCTGCACAACAGAGTGAGACTCCGAATCAAGAAAAAAAGATAAAAAGAAAACTCTCGTTCAGCAACTGGATCTGTTGGCCTTCACGCTCAGGGTGCAGAGGTAATCACATCTATGGCTTTAGCTGCACTCACTTCTTCTTTCTCTCTATGGTGACAGCCCATTCTCCCACTGCTTTTTCTCTTCCATTTGTTCTCCCCAGCAGCTGCTGTAACCTCTGTCTGGTGTCCAGTGTCCCATGGGCTCCCATTCTGCCAAGCCCTTTCTGTCCCCATCTCCTCATTGCTCTCTGAATTCTGCTCTATTCCTTCTTCTGCTGGCTTGACGGTCCCTCTCATGACCACGGGAGAGCCGGCCCTCCTTGTCCGCATTAAAGTACACAGTTTAAGCTGTGGAACACAGGGTTTCTTGCCTGGAATTGCACACTCTCTTCAGAAATTTACCTTTCCTTCCTGTATCCCAAACTCCATTGTTGCTTTCTGCAGGGAGCATGGCTTTAATACATCATTTACACATAGGTTTTCCTCTTGAGTTGGCTTTGGAGGAACCCAGCTAAGTCCACCCTTACTTGTCTCTTGTTCCTCTGAATGAGAAGTGTTAAAGCTGAGCACAGAGAGCCCCACTTAGAAAACTAAACTTGAATCTGGGTCACAAGTGGGAGTTCCCTTCCAGACTGGAGCCAGGTTTGCCTTTAGCCCCAGATGTGCAGGCTTGTGACAATGTAGGTGGAATTGCCAGGGACTCAGCATTCTCACCACATGGACTCATTTGTCCTGACATTAACTGAATGACATTTATGGAATGCAAAAGTACATGCAGAGGACAGGACTTCAAATCTGCATACATCATGAGATATATCATTCTAACCTCTCTCCATTTTATTCTCATTTCCATTTTTACATGTCCAGTTAAAAGTCTAAAATGCAACTCAGATGAATCTTGAGGCCAGGGTATATGAGAGAGTCTTTTCTGAATTAACTCTGAGAAATTGATTTCAGAACCTACTTTATGCATACACAGGATGACAGGCAAGCATCTGTCTATAGGACAGTCTTTGCTTTGGTTCAGCCCAATTGATAAGAGAGAGATTTCACTGAAGTTGTCAGAGAGAAAACTGAAATCCATGGAACCACAGGGAATAAAGCCGATCATGAGATAAATGGGGAAAGAAAAGAAAATGATGAGAAATTAGGTTGTTCCATTTTATATCTCTAAATCTAGCTGCCATGTAGTAAACATTTAATGAGATTTCAGTTAAGATGCATGTTTTGAACTCAAACCTTGAGATTCTCACTGACATGATCTGGGGTGTGGTTTGGGTGTCTGTAGTTTAAAAATGCTCCCATATTATTCTAATATGTGCCTGAAGATGAGGAAGACAAATGGTCTTCTATCACCTCAGGTTGCCAACATGGAAGTGTTCCATATGTGTGGCTACTCCAAAGAAAAGGCTGAGTATCCATCAGCATTTGATGGGATCTGTATTCCCCTCTAAATAGTACTGTTTATATAGAACAGAAACAAAATCAGACAGGAAACCAACAAAATTAAGAGATTGGACCTTTAGCCTCTGCTTGAAGTATACTTGCTCAGTTTTCAATACAAGACAAAGTGAGGAACAGTCATTACTTTGACGCCTAATGTAGGGAAATAATACCTCCCATATTACATGTAGTGGAATTTAGTATTTTCTTTGGCAGTTTACAGTAAATCTTGCAAGTGACGTTTAACCACACAGATTTTATAGCCCACTGATTGGCTCAGCACTGCAATGTGAACATTTTACTCTCAGTCTATTGTTGTTCTTTCTCAAAGCCCCCAAAGAGAACTTATTAGTCTCACGCTCCTGAAGAGAAGAAATAACACATCAAGACTGAAATTCTGCAATAGATTGCCTGTGAATGCTTCCTTATGCCACTCTTAAAGCTGAGATTAAATATTAAAAAGGAACCTGTCAGCCTGGTGTGGTGGCTCACAGCTGTAATCCCAGCACTTTGGGAGGCTGAGGTGGGCGAATCATGAGGTCAAGAGATCGAGATCATCCTGGCAAACAAGGTGAAACCCATTCCCTACTAAAAATACTAAAAATAATTAGCTGGGCCTGGTGGCACACACCTCTGGCCCCAGCTACTTGGAGGCTGAGGTGGAAGAATTGCTGGAATCCAGGAGGTGGAGGTTGCAGTGAGCCAAGATTGTGCCACTGTACTCCAGCCTGGTGATAGAGCAAGAGTCCATCTCAAAAAAAAAAAAAAAAAAAAAAAAACAGAAAGAAAGAAACCTTTTTCAAAATGTACTTGGGGAAAAGAGAAAGTGGGAGGAGAGAATGTAGTAAAACAAAAACTATTCCTTTTCACCTCATACTTCAGAGTTTTGTTCATCTAGATAGTGAAAATATTCCTAGAAATGCCTTAACGTATAACCAGGTATGGAATCAACTTCTGGGCATTAGGGAAAATAAGTAAGTCCATAGTTACACTCCCCACTTTCTGCTAATTTCATTTTGAGTGTATTTTTTCTTTCAAATTTTCTTTCCTGATCCCCTTTGAAAGAATACTTATAGTTATGTTTGTTTTTTCTTCTTTTTAATTTTTTAGCCAACAAAATAAACATCACAGACATCATAGTTCTTTGTAAAATCATATTCCTGTCCTAGCTAGGGTAACCCAACAGCCTCTCATGACTGCCAAGACCTCCAAATTGGACCCTTTCCTCTCACTTTCTCCAATCTCTATTGAAAGGGCCTTAGTGCCTTGTTCTAGTTCTGGGTTGTCAATAGCAAGTCATGTGGCCTTAGTTCAATCTTAGCCCTGTGGCATCACTGCTACACTGTTTTAAAAGGTGGAAGAGGATGTGGATGTTGTCTGAGGTTCCTGCTGCTTTTTATATCCAGAGTGTTGCCCAAGGCCCTTCTGCTCCTCCCCAGAAGACTGGGACATGGAGTTGTAAGGGGGTGGGTTTCTCTGCTGAGGGTCCTCCTTCTGCAGTCCTCTGTGTCTGAGCATGCATGACTGATGCTGAACACATCCTCACTGAAAGGAAAAGCCATCACTCTGCTCCAGACAGAGGGGATCAGGAGGAAATGGGCTGATGTTCCTGGCTGCTTGTGGGGCACAGTTGGGGTCCCTATATCCTGCACCCCAGGCTGACAGGAAGTTCATGGGAATTCAGGGGTGTTTTCTTCTCACTTGTGGATGGTGCTTCTCCTTTCACAGTCCAATGCTCACCCTCAGCTCAAGCTGCCAGCAGGAGGTCTGTCTACCGCTGGGATATGATCACTTAGCAGTCCCTCCAGACTCAGCCTTCAGGAGGACCTGACAAAAATGCTCATTTGATTATTTTTTCTCTCTCCCCTACAGGCACCAAATAGTGTCAGAAAGGACATCAGAAAAAAAGGGGTCTCAAGCTTTTCCACTTGATGAAATAACACTAAAATGGCAAAGCAACTTCAAGTCCAAACACAAGTAACTGCAGAAATCCTTCACTGAGGATTCAATTTTAGACCACAGGGCCTGTTAAGGAAAATGGCACTGTTAGGACCAACTCAGGATTACAGCTCCCAGTCAATCCACAGAGGGTGAGTGGACACGGCATTTCCATGGGGATCTTTATTGTCCACAGACTAAAAGATTTCCAGGTGTAAGAGCCCCATGGGCCATGTGGCAGTTTGGGCCGGTGCAGCTGTTTGAGCCGAGGCCGCAGCACAGTGACACTCCGTACAAAATATGCCAGTTTGGTTGCCCTGTTAAACTGGCAATTGGAGATTTTGGAAGACAGATTAGCACATTCATCTTATTAAATAAGACTTAAACAGAAAGCCAGCTTAGGAGATTCCCAGGCAGCAACGTAATTTGAGCAGACGCAGTGGGTCGCTGCACGGGATATCACACAGATCCCAGCACCCTTGCAGCAGGTGACTGGAACACCTGGGAGAGAGTCAACCGCTGAACTTTAAAAGAAAAAAGGGCTCTGAGGCAGGGAGCCAGGTGATCAGGCTCGGCGGGTCCCACCCCCACAAAAACAAACAAAACAGCAATTGGAAATGCTGTGGGTTGAGAGTTTCATGGCAAGCACAGCAGAACCCAGGATGGTGCAGCTTGGAACAGGAAGGGCATCCGTTATTACTGAGGCACTCAACCCCTACAGAGCTACACTGCCATTGCTGATGCAGCCTCCCATTACTGAGGCAACCCACAATGAAAGAGAGTCCACCAATACAGAGGCAAGCATATCCATATAAACAGGACTATAGGAAATTACACACAGCAGCAGGGCGGAGCCCACAGCAATAGGGCAGAGCCCATGGCAACAGGGCGGAGCACACAGCAGCAGGGCAAAGCCCATGGTAACAAGGTGGAGCCCATGGCAACAGGGCAGAGCCCACGGCAGCTCAGCATAGCCACTGCAGGCAAGCAGTAATTAGACTGCCTCCTTGCTAAGGAGGGCAGTGCAACAGATATTCATAAATGGATCCCTAACTCCCTGGGACAGAGCACCTGAGGAAAAAGAAAGGGGCTTTATGAGTTCTGCTTAAGCAGACTTAAATATTTCTGCCTAGCAGCCCTGAATAAACAACAAAGCTCACAGCTCAGCACTTGAGCTCCTATAAAGTACAGACAGTCTCCTCAAGCAGCTCCCTGACTTCCGTATATCCAAAGACTCACCTCACAAAGGACTGATCGGACTGACATTTGGCGGGCATCATTCAGGGACAAAGATAGCAGAAGAAGAATCTGGAAGCAACCCTCATGGTTCTGCAGCTGCTACAGGGGTTCCCCAGGCAAGCAGGGCCTGGAGTGGACCTCAGCAGTCCTACAGCAGTGGGGCCAGACTGTTAGAAGGTAAACTATGAAACAGAAATACTTCATCATCAACAATCTGGATGTCCACTCAGAGACCCAATCAGAAAATCAGCAATCACTCAGACGACAGGTGGATAAATCCACAAACATGGGAAGAAACTAGCGCAAAAAGGAGGAAAATACCCAAAACCAGAACACATCGCCTCCTACAAAGGACCAAAACTTTTCACCAGCAAGGGAACAAAGCTGGATGGAGAATGAATGTGATGAAATGATGGAATCAAACTTCAGAAGGTGGGTAATGAGAAACTTCCGTGAGCTAAAAGAACATGTTCTAAATCAATGCAAATAAACTAAGAACCTTGAAAAAACATTTGAAAAAAGATCTGAGGAAATGATAACAAGAATGGACAACTTAGAGAGGAATACGAGTGAATTGAAGGAGCTGAATAACACAACACGAGAACTTCGTGAAGCATGCGCAAGTTTCAACAGCCGAATTGACCAAGCAGAAGAAAGGATATCAGAAGTCGAAGATCAACTCAATGAAATAAAATGAGAAGGCAAAATTAGAGAAAAAAGCGCAAAAAGGAATGAACAAAGTCTCCAAGAAATGTGGGACTATGTGAAGAGACCTAATCTACGTTTGATAGGTGTACCTGAATGTGATGAAGAGAATGAATCCAAGCTGAAAAATACTCTTTAGGATATTATCCAGGAAAATTTCCCCAACCTAGCAAGGCAGGCCAATATTCAAGTCCAGGAAATACAGAGAACACCACAAAGATATTCCGCAAGAAGAGCATCCCCAAGGCACACAATCGTCAGATTTACCAGGGTTAAAATGAAGGAGAAAATGCTAAGGGCATCCAGAGAAAAAGGTCGGGTCATTCACAAAGGGAAGCCCATCAGACTCACAGCAGATCTCTCAGCAGAAACCCTACAAGCCAAAAGAGAGTGGGGGCCAATATTCAACATCCTTAAAGAAAAGAACCTTCAACCCAGAATTTCATATCCAGCCAAATTGAGCTTCATAAGTGAAGGAAAAATAAAATCCTTTGCAAACAAGCAAGTACTCAGAGATTTTGTCACCACCAGGCCTGCTTTACAAGAGCTCCTGAAAGAGGTACTACACATAGAAAGGAACAACCAGTACCAGCCATTCCAAAAACATACCAAATGCTAAAGAGCATCAACAAAATGAAGAATCTGCATCAACTAATGGGCCAAACAGCCAGCTAGCATCAACATGGCAGTATCAAATTCACACATAACAATATTAACCTTAAATGTAAATGGGCTAAATGCACCAATCGAAAGACACAGATTGGCAAATTGGATAAAAAGGCAAAACCCATCAGTGTGCTGTGTTCAGGAAACCCATCTCACAGGCAAGGATACACAAAGGCTCAAAATAAAAAGATGAAGGAAGATTTACCAAGCAAATGCAGAGCAAAAAAAAAAAAAAAAAAGCAGGAGTTGCAATTCTCATCTCTGATAAAATAGATTTTAAAGCAACAAAGATCAAAAAAGACAAAGAAGGACATTACATGATGGTAAAAGGATAGATACAACAAGAAAAGCTAATGATCCTAAATATATATGGACCCAATACAGGAGCACCCAGATATATAAGGCAAGTTCTTAATGACTTACAAAGAGACTTAGACTCCCACACAACAATAGTGGGAGATTTAACACTCCAGTGTCAATATTAGATCAACCAGACAGAAAATTAACAGGAATACTTAGGACTTGAGCTCAGACCTGGAACAAGCAAACCTGATAGAACTCTCCACCCTAAATCCACAGAATATATATTCTTCTCAGCACCACATCACATTTACTCTAAAACTGACCACATAACTGGAAATAAAGCACTCCTCAACAAGTGCAAAAAAACTGAAATCATAACAAACAGTCTCTCAGACCATAGTGCAATCAAGTTAGAACTCAGAATTCAGAAACTAACTCAGAACTGCACAGCTTCATGGAAACTGAACAACTGTCTCCTGAATGTTGATTGGATAAACAATGAAATGAAGGCAGAACTAAAGAAGTTCTTAGAAACCAACAAGAATGAAGACACAACATACCAGAATCTCTGGGACACATTTAAAGCAGTCTCTAGAGGAAAATATATAGCAATAAGTGCCCACATGAGAAGAGTGAAGAGATCAAAAATTGACACCCTATCATCAGAATTGAAAGAGCTACAGGAGCAAGATCAAAAAAACTCAAAACCTAGCGGAAGACAAGAAATAACTAAGATCAGAGCAGAACTGAAGGAGATAGAGACATGAAAAACCTTTCAAAAAAATCAATAAATCCATGAGCTGTTTTTTTTTAAAAGATCAACAAAATAGACAGACCACTAGCCAGACTGATAAAAAAGAAAAGAGAGAATAACCAAATAGATGCAATAAAAAACAATAAAGGGGAAATCACCACAGATTTCACAGAAATTCAAACCATCATCAGAGAATATTACAAACAACTCTATGCACATAAACTAGTAAACCTGGAAGAAATGGATAAATTCCTGGACACCTGTGTCCTCCCAAGCCTTAACCAGGAGGAAGCAAAAACTATGAATAGACCAATAACAAGGTCTGAAGTTGAGGCAGCAATTAAGAACCTACCACACAAAAAAAGCAGAGGTCCAGATGGGTTCACAGCCGAATTCTACCAGACACACAAAGAGGAGCTGGTACCATTCATTCTGAAACTCTTACAAATAATCCAAAAAGAGGGAATCCTTCCCAAATCATTTTATGAGACCAACATTATCCTGATACCAAAACCTGGCAGAGATCCAACAAGAAAACAAAACTTCAGGCCAATATCCATGATGAACATAGATGCAAAAATCTTCAATAAAATACTGGCAAGCCGATTGCAACAGCACATCAAAAAGCTTATCCATCATGATCAAGTAGGATTCATCCCGGGGATGCAAGTCTGGTTCAACATACGCAAGTCTATAAACGTAATTCACCTCCTAAATAGAACCAAAAACAAAAACCACATGATTATCTCAATTGACACAGAGAAGGCATTCGACAAAATTCAACAGCGCTTTATGCTAAAAACCCTCAATAAACTCGGTATTGATGGAACGTATCTCAAAATAATAAAAGCTATTTATGACAAACCTACAGCCAATATCATACTGAATGGGCAAAAACTGGAAACATTCCCTTTGAAATCTGGCACTAGACAAGGATGCCCTCTCTCACCACTCCCATTCAATACAGTACTGGAAGTTCTAGCCAGAGCAATTAGGCAAGAAAAGGAAATAAAGGGTATTCAAATAGGAAAGGAGGAAGCCAAACTGTCTCTATTTGCAAACGACATGATAGTATATCTACAAGACCCCATCGTCTCAGCCCAAAAACTCCTGAAACTGATAAGCAACTTCAGCAAAGTCTCAGGATATAAAATCAATGTGCAAAAATCACAAGCATTCCTATACACCAATAACAGACTTAAAGAGCACCAAATCAAGAATGAACTGCCATTCACAATTGCTACAAAGAGATTAAAATACCTAGGAATACAACTTAAAAGGAACATAAGGGACCTCTTCAAGTAAAACTACAAACCACTGCTCAACAAAATAAGAGAGGACACAAACAGATGGAGAAACATTCCATGTTCATGGTTAGGAAGAATCAATATTGTGAAAATGGCCATACTGCCCAAAGTAATTTACAGACTCAATGCTATCCCGATCAAGCTACCATCGACTTTCTTCACAGAACTGGAAAAAACCACCTTGAGATTCATATGGAACCAAAAGAGAGCCCGCATAGCCAAATCAATTCTAAGCAAAAATAACACAGCATCACACTACTGGACTTCAAACTATACTACAAGGCTACAATAATCAAAACAGCATGGTACTCGTACCAAAACAGAGATATAGATTGATGGAACACAACAGAGGCTTCGGAGTCAACACAACATATCTACAACCATACGATCTTTGATAAACCTGACAAAAACAAGCAATGGGGGAAGGACTCCCTATTTAATAAATGGTGTTGGGAAAACGGTCTAGCCATGTGCAGAAAGGAGAAACTGTACCCCTTCCTGACACCTTACACTAAAATTAACTCCAGATGGATTAAAGACTTAAACATAAGACCTGGCACCATAAAAACCCTAGAAGAAAATCTAGGCAAAACCATTCAGGACATAGGAGTAGGTAAGAACTTCATGACCAAAACACCAAAAGCATTGGCAACAGAAGCCAAAATAGACAAATGGGACCTAATCAAACTCCACAGCCTCTTCACGGCAAAAGAAACAGTCACTAGAGTGAATCGGCAACCAACAGAATGGGAAAAAATCTTTGCAGTTTACCCATCTGACAAAGGGCTGATATCCCGAATTTACAAAGAACTCAAACAGATTTACAAGAAAAAAACAAACAAGCCCATTCAAAAATGAGCAAAGGATATGAACAGATACTTTCCAAAAAAGACATACATGAGGCCAAAAAACATATGAAAAAATGCTCATCATCACTGGTCATCAGAGAGATGCAAATCAAAACCACATTGAGATACCACCTCACGCCAGTTGGAATGATGATCATAAAAAATCTGGAGACAACAGATGCTGGAGAGGATGTGGAGAAATAGGAACACTTTTACACTGCTGGCGGGAGTGTAAATTAGTTCAACCATTGTGGAAGACAGTGTGGCGATTCCTCAAGGACTTAGAAATAGAAATTCCATTTGACTCAGCAATCCCATTACTGGGTATATATCCAAAGGATTATAAATCATTCTACTATAAGGACACATGGACACGAATGTTCACTGCTCACTGTTTACAACAGCAAAGACCTGGAACCAACCCAAATGCCCATTAATGATTGACTGGACTGGGAAAATGTGGCACATATACAGCATGAAATATTATGCAGCAATAAAAAATGATGAGGTCGTGTCCTTTGTAGGGACATGGATGAATCTGGGGAACATCATTCTCAGCAAACTGACACAAGAACATAAAATGAAATACCGCATATTCTCACTCATAGGCCGGTGATGCATAACGAAAACACATGTACACAGGGATTAGAGCAGTACACACTGGGATCTATTGGGGGGAATAGGGGAGGGACAGTGAGGGGGGGAACTGGGGAGAGATAGCATTGAAATGCCAAATGTGGGTGAAGGGGAGGAAGGCAGCAAAACACACTGCCACGTGTGTACCTATGCAACTATCTTGCATGTTCTGTGCATGTACCCCAAAACCTAAAATGCAATTTAAAAAAAATTTTAGACCACAGAATGCTCTTGTTGATTTCAGCCCACTAGGCTCCTTTTATTCATCCCCCTCCAATTGTGATCAGTACCAAGGGAGTCCAATTCCCAGATGGACAAACAGCATTGACAAGACTTAACCCTGCTCCTGTCAATTTTTATCCTGTAGAGAACAGGAGTCCAGAGCTGCTGGCAGAGGACAGCATGTCACCCAGGACTCTGTCAGGGCAGAATATCAACAATGTTATCTTCTTGCTGAAAACTTTGTCTGTAGAGGACAGATCAGCTGTCTGGCTCAAAGGTCTAAATTCTGAAGTCAACTGAAAGGGTCCTCATGATTAAATTTATCTTAAACATTTTGCCAGGAGCACTGCAGAGTCAATGTTATGAGCTTCCTACCTCAGTCCATCTGCGGGCAGAAAAGGCCCAGTGTGTCCATCCCCATTATGGTGATATTAGCTAGAATGGTCACTTGGTTAAGGAGTAGTCTAGGAGCTCTGTCCCTTGTAAAGACAACTGATTTGTAATTAATTTGAAAAATGGTTTGAGAAACTTTAAACATCTGTATTCTAACCATCTTCCTCTGACCATTTTATCATCAATTAATCACCGCTGTCTGTGGTAGTTATTATATTTATATTTGTACATTGGGAATATTCTCTCTCAAAATTTTACTGAGTACTTGTTTTTACTGGCATTCTTCACAAAAAAGAATATTCCCCACCCAAATTTTAACTTTCATTCAAAATTAATTTTAATTTATTTTGCTGGCATTCTGTTGTGGAAAAGAATATTCTCTGCCCCAGTTTTAACTTCCACCCCAAATTAATTTTAGTCTATTAGTTATAATGTTTAAACTTTAAATTCATTTAATTAAAAATTTTTTTGCCCATTACTCTGAACAAGTGGATTTTTTACAAATAATGTTTTAAGTTTTTATTAGTATGATTGGTTTGGCAAATAAACCTATGGATTAATAAAATCATTCTTATTTTTCTCTTTATATTCTAAACTCTTCCATATTTTAGTCTATATTTATTATATGAGGTAGACTGTGTTTTCTGTATTTCTTTTTGATGTTACTTGTTTTCTTTGTGTGTGTGTGTGTGTGTGTGTGTGCACGCACACATGTGCATTTTGTTGTTATTTAAGAAGAGTTGTATAGCTCTTGTTTAACATTGAACTATGGTTTTGACATCGCTAATCCCCTTTTAACTTGAGACACTTCTGCTATTTGGTTTATACATTTTAAATTATATTTTTGAACTTCAGATTTTTACCACTATAACAATCAAAGCATTATTTTCCTCTTCTCTATCCTCTTTACCTGTCATTTTTTATTTGTCATTTCAGCCCAAACATAAAGTGACAGCTTATGTGTGCCACCTGTTCCCACCTTGGTTTCTGGTATAGATCTGCAATTAAATAGGTTGATGTACATGTGCTATTCAAACGTGTGTCCTAAGTGTTTCTCGTTGAGTGGAATTTATCTGTAACAGAGTCCTCCTGAAGGAATCAGGTCTCGCTGACTTTTGCTTAGGGAACTTTTCCCAGTCTTCATGCATGGGTCATATCACTGGATATACAGTACTTGCTAAAAAGGATTTTTCTT